CTTCACATTTACCCAGCATGCCTTTTTTAAGCCACCATCATTTAAAACATGTCCAGATATCATGTCATGTTATTGTATGTAATCTATGCGTTCATGCCTCTTCCGAGTATTCAAGGAACATGAACTGTACAGAAGTGCAGCCTAAACCTGAGTAGAGCCGTTTAGATCCAGCTGTGTAGAATTAAACCCGGCTGCTGATCCCGGAATGCCTCAGAGACAGGCCTGCCCCGTAAATCAACAAGTACTGTATCCTCCAACACGCAGGCATTTAGCTTTTAGCTGCAATACCAAAATAGACTGAAAAAGCAGTTAGTAATGCAGTATTTGCTTTTCAGAACTGTGTGAATTACGTTGTAGTATGGGTTCGTGATTTCATTTTGACGTGTTAATAGTGATAATGTGATATCAACCGTCACATCATCACTGTTGCATTGTTGTTCCTTATAGCCTCTTGTATATAGCTGAAATACTTTTATTACTTATTTTTTATTGTTTTGCTATCTTTTTTACTACTTTTTGAGAATGTATTATTAACATTTATATTTTTGCTCTTTGATATTATATTATATTGTGATGTGTGAGCTACTGTGTCCAAATAATTTCCTTTGCGGATCAATAAAGTTTGTCTAAGTCTAAATCTATAATGAGACTTAGACTTTATTGATCCACAAAGGAAATTATTTGGACACAGTAGCTCACACATCACAATATAATATAATAAAATGTGATCTGTGATTATCAGTACAATTATCTGTGATTATGCATAACCTGTGATTATGAGCTGTACTTTTGTGTGTTTCTAACAATTTGTGTTTTGCTTATGATGTGTTATTGTAAAGCTGATACAGTGTCTTGTACAAGAATTTGATTTAAAGGGATAGTAAATATATAACAATTGCTTCAGCCTTTTCCTTTCATTTGGTTAAAAACATACAAAAACATGTCTATATGCTGTACATTATGTAAACTGAATTACTGCAAAATCCCCCCATCATCATATATTATAATAACAAAGAGCAACAATATAAATGGTTATAATAATTTCTAAATAAGTAGCAAAAATAGCAAGAGAACGGTGTCAAATAATTTATAATTATATAAATGTATATGTGCAATTAAAAAAACAAACAAAAAAGGAAATATGGTAATACAAATATATCTCAGCTATATACAAATATACAAGACAACTAATTACTGCTAATTACTAATTAATAGTTTAGACATTATGCAATCGTATGGGGAGCTGTGGTTGTGGGTAATGTGTGTTTGAATTCGTATCAAAAATAGTTTATTAAATGGTAATTTATACAAGGCAGAAAAAGGATAGTCAAATCTGTTAGTACTTATGGGTATTTGAAGTCTCTGGAGAGTATTGTGTAATGGTCAATGGCTGTCGAGAAAACATGATGTCATGGGAGATGTCATTCAGTGTTTTATGGTCTTATAGTTATAACGAAACGCCTATAGTGCAGGTGTTGGAAGTTGGAATATATTACAAGCTTTCTAATAGTTCTGTCAATGTTGTTTTCTTTATAGTTTAGTAGAAGATAACACATTCATTGGTGCTTGCATTAAAGATGCACTGAGAATTTGTTCAGGCGTATGGGGCATCACCTTCTTTTCTCCCTGGAATTGTTGACACTTGGCCTGAAGAGTCCTGTATTACAGTTTTAAACATATTTACTTACCATTTATTTACATTTTGTTCTTTTAATGATTAAAAATAAATTCATTTTTACTGGGCTGGGTCACATCTGTGTTACTGTTGTCATGATAGTAAAATTTCAAACTCAATTTCAACAGCAAGGAATAGACTCAATACTCAATACCGATTCTGATCAGAAAAGAAAACAATTTCTTTAGACAATAGAATGTGATTTTAAACATTAAATCATAGTACTTTCTTTTATATTTCTAAGTGGTCTTATATCCTTCAGTGGTCCAGGTAGGTTCCACCCTGGTCCATTGGCATATACTAGTCTATGTGCTCTTATACTTGTTCTGATACAGCTCAAGGTCTTTCTAAAGATATATCAAAAAGGCTAATTTCTGTCTTATAAATGTGATTTGCTCAAAAATATCTAATATCTAGTTTTAGAATAGATAGGTATCTGATTTTCAATACTTTTGGAACCCTTATTATGTGCAGCACTGTGGAAAGCTGGTAAACCTGTGCTTTACAAATTAAATTGGACTAGACATACATATGTTTGGGATGAAAATGCAGTCAATTCATGTTTCAAATCACGTTTCATCAGAGTAAGAATGTCGTCTATGATATTTTTGACTTTGTTACTTACACAGCTCGTAAATTCACACGTGTCCGTCAGTATAAAATTTATGAGCACAACTGTATTCACCAGGACAGTGGAGGAGTAAGACTATCTTGGAAATCTGTTGCACAACTCTTTCTTGTGAATGAGTCCTCTCACCAGTTGACCACAGAAAAAATGTGTACAGTATATATTTTATCTGTAAGATAACATACAGTATATATTTCATACTGTCATTCAACTTGTACTTTAAAGGTCCTATATTACACACAGAATTGACTTTTGTGAGCTTTAAGTCATGGAGTTGTGTTTTGTTTCATTCTCACGTGTTTGAGTAATCCTGGTTTATTACTCTTTACATCTCAAAACCTCAAAATTCTCTGTTCTACCTTGTGAGGTCATGAAGTGGTAGTTTTCAAATTAAAAGCTACCTTTTAAAATTTTGTTCAGCAGGGATTTGCAGTTCCAGTGCTGAAATCATCCAAATGATTATAGTGAAGGTGTATGGAGATTAAAAACACAGTGGAGCACTTTCTGTATTGTCACGTGACATCACAAGGTGGAACAGGATGTTTTCAGTTTGAGAGAGTGTATGTTTGTGATGAGGAAACTACATTGTAACAGGAACAAGGGTGCAGGTTTGGGCTCAGCTTTGGTGGGGACATTAAAAATACACAGAGTCTGGGTGAGAGAGGTGGTTTCATTTTTCAGTTCGCAAAATGTACAGTTTGTGTCCTCTGCCCTTCTAGATGATTCTTTAGTGGGTAACAGTGATGTAGAAGTTCATAGTAGATTTCCCTTTGCTTGTTGGTGATGAGATATTTGTGTGGTAATGTCCAAACATTTTTCCATGGAATATTATCAGTAGAGTTCAGCTGCTAGCGCACAAGTAGAGCTCTGTTTGGGAGGTGGCCTGGCACCACTAATGACATCAATCTTTTGCAGCCAGTCAAATAGCGGCAGGGGTAACCCTGTCTTCATATCACTGACTGTATCTCAGACTTGATTAACTTGATTAATTGAGTTAGGAAAAATATTGGAATACATTTATATTTTTGTTTATTAAAATAAAATGGCAAATATTGGTAGAGACTTGTTTTTCCCAAATATTGGTTGTGACATATCCCCACCGTCCCTATGCACACCTACGCCCAGGAACAGGAATCCGAGAATAGTGTAATAAGGGCACTTTAAAGGCATTGAAGTTTGGAGGCACCAATCCCATATTTAGAGATCTCTTTGGAGTCTGCATGTTCTCCCTGTGTTTGTCTCAAAAAAAAAAAAAAAAACCTTCTTTTACCTGTGATAAATAACAGTTGAGTGCTGCAATTGTTGATTCTGCAGATATCCACGTGTCTTTGTAAAGGATTGCACATGTGTGTGGTTTTGGCTGACCAGGTAATATTTAATCTCCCCTCTAGGATTTCTCTGAAAATGAGATTCAAAACACCAGAGGGACTTTGCTAGTTAATAAAATATTGACTAGGGCGACAGCAGCACAGATGACAGAGTGCTCGTTCACTGATCTGAAAGTTGGCAGTTCAAATCTCACTCTCATCACTGGTAGAGCAGTTAGATCCACTGGACCACAAGTCGGTGGCGCATTTTCAGATCCCACAGTTGAATGCTGTTGTTGTGTCCTTGGGTCCAGTGTCATAAATAAACAACTGGTATAACTGAACATGCTGTCTTTATGGTAAATGCCGTGTGTTGAAAATTGATGTGCATTTCTTTCTACAATAAAGAATACCAAACAGTGTACAGCAGCTATAATTTTTCTTATTTACTACATTGTAATGGGTTTCCTCAACACTTTCAAATATGTGCTTCTCTGATAAACAGGAAATCACTGGTTAACAGCCCTCTCATTTGTCTGTTCTAACCATCAAAAGTCTTTCCTGTTGTTAATCTGTACTTATGGAATGTGTTTGCAAGTTTTCATTTATCAAGAAGACCAGATGTAAGCTTCAGATCTCATAAACTTTTATGTGTGAATGGACTGAATTTCCTTTGGGATCAATGAAGTCTCTAGTAGAGCTGTCTAACCTCTTAGCGCCGATTGTCACAAATATGTGACAAACCTTTTGGATCAAGATATAAGCTGAAATAGCAGCTGCATTCCCCCAGTGCCTGTTAGTGCATATGCAGGACCTTCCTAGAAACCTGTGGCAAGCACTTGTTTCTAGTTGTCACACAAATTTCTATTTATTTATTTATTTAATTTTTGCTATAGTCAAATTAATAATCTAATTTAATTTACCATCTACTTAAAGGCAAAAACACACACAAAACTTTATTTATTTATTTATTTATTGTATATTGATGCATTGTGTAACTTTTCTGGTGGAGGGTCTGTTACTACTTTTCTTCATGGAGATGTTATAACTTTGTCTGGAATGTTTCACAGTATGACAATAAACCTTTTTATCTTCATGGAGACCAAACCAAGCAGGTCAGTTACAGGTCAGATCTGTGGAGAGGAGACCCATCTCACAGACAGAATGCCTGTTTTTCCTATGTATTTTGAAGGTATAAAACTAGCTGTAGTTTAATAAATGTACGGTAGAGCTTTTTAATGTCATACTGAGGAACATTCCATGCAGAGCAATGATATATCCATAGAAACCAGCATGTGATGGGGCCCCAACCAAAACCTTACATAGCTCACCCTTAAAAAAACATATGCAAGCTTCAAATGAACACAACTTGGACAATGTATACATTTTCTTTTAAATTTTTATTTGTAAATGGATTTACGTAGAACAAAAGCAACAAAAATATATATATCATTTTGAACATTTTTCCTGTTAAGTGTTTACAGAGCACAATTAAAAGAGGCACATTTGATGGCTCATTATGAACAATAAGGTACAGGAAGCAAAAACCAAACCTTGGATGAAAAGCTTCTCGGCCATTTAACCATGATGTGTAAACACTTATGCATTTATACCCACTATATATGAATGATCATGTTATTTACATAGCCTTAAAAATCTTTAAATCACAGAAATCACTAAAAGAATAGTTCATGTCTCCTCTTGGATGCATATACAATATTTACATACATTCACAGGCCCAGTGAACAGGCCCTCATTCTTCTGGGTGTATGGCTGCACATTTCCTCCATACAGGCGTCTCTCAGGTGCTCATCAGGCTTTGTCAAAGTACATTAAATGGCCCATATTACACTATTTTCTGATCTATATTATAATGTTGTTTCCTCATTAAAAACATACCAGGAGTTGTGTTTTATTTCATTCACACCTTTATCAGACATCCTGCATATTTCTTAGTTCATAGTTCTTCTCTCAAATGGGAAACACTCAGTTCCACCGTGTAATACCATGTGGTAATATAGGAAGTGCTCCACTGTGTTGTTTAACTCCATACATTTTCACTAAAATCATTTAGATTATTTCGGTCCTGGAGCTGCCATTCTCTACTGAACAAAGTGTAAAAGGTAGCTGTTAATTTGGTCTGGAACAGAGCATTTTGAGCTTTGGAGATGTGGACAGACACATTATTGCCAGGTCAGGAATCGAAAAACACTAAACAGTTTGCAAGAACTCCAGAAGTTGTAGATCGCGCACTGGACCAATCAGCGAAGAGCTGTGAAGCCATGATTTCAAACTCAAGCGCCTGTCTGGGTCCCTTTTGTGGTACAACACAACAGTAAACAAAGTGGTTGAGATGGATGTAGACAGAGCCATACATTCTGTGTTGACAATGATTCCCAAGATCGAGGATTTAAAACTGAAACAAAGAGAATGTTTTGTGAATTTTATCAAGGGGAAAGACGTTATTGCCCTTCTTCCTACGGGATTTGGTGCATTACATAAGTCACAACATAACAGCAGCGACTGGTTAAATAAAAAAAAAGGTACCCTCCTACCATGAAGCGAACAAATCCTAATGCTGTGAGATCAGACTGTTTCCACAAAGTGAAACCATCTGATGAATCAGGCTAGACATATACACCAAGATTACTCAAACATGTGTGAATGAAACAAAACACAACCCCAGGTATGCTTTCGAGAAGGTAACAATATTCCAACATGACTAAAAGTTCACATGAGTCAATTTTGTGCAATATAGGCCCTTTAAGGACAACACTTTATCACATCACTGGGACAATACTGAGCAAAGAGCTTATCCAGTCCCCTATTTGGTTCAAGTGGGATGCAGCATGGTCACACGCGGAAGACACAACAGTCATTGGTGCGTAAAGTAGGGGCCTCAGTATTCATATAAATCTTAAATGTGTTTTGTTTTCTACATTATTTTGAGGTATGTTGAAAAAAATACATCTTAATGTGAAAGCATCTTCATGAATTAAAGGTGCACTGTGTAATTTTTCCGATGGAGGGTCTGCCAACTGCTTGTTTCCACGGAGATGACTTTGCTGTCCTTTCCATGTCTAAAGAAACAAGCATGTGACACTTAAGGCCAAGTTATTGGTCAGATCTGTGGAGAGGCAACTTTGTAATTTACTTTTTAAATTTTACATTACAGGTAAATCAGTAACATCTCCATGGAGACAATTAGGTGACAGACCTGCTACCTGAAAAGTTGCAAAGGGCACCTTCAAGTTCAATGATATCATATGGCTTTTCTTGCATACTTATTTTTACTTTACATAACCTGGTGAATAAGTGCCACTTGGTAAGATACAGTGTTGTAAGCGCACATCTGTCACATCAGTATTGGAGCCCTTAGGGACATAGAACCAGAATAGAAATAGAGATGTAAATGTAAATCAGGCCATCCACTGTCCGAAATGAACAGTGCTCATATATGTGATAAAACGATACACTAAACAATGGCCCACTGTTCTTGATATGGTTTAAACAATATAATTTTATGCCTTTATACTTTCCAGTTACCAGTTAAACTTTGAGTTGTACATCCAGTTGTCGTACACATCTCTGCTCTTCATTGAGTGGCAGTAAAAAACTTTAAGTAAATAAAAAGTTACATAACCCAAAATGTTGTCTCCCAATGGCTCTTCTCACGGAGCACCACATGTGTCTGGGAGGATTGTTTGTCATTATCTTGATGCTTTCTTTGGTTCAAAACATTTGTGAACCAGATGATACAATGAGTTTGGATTTGTAAGCCAGGCCATACCACAAAATTGGATAAAAATCCAAATGATCTGGTTGGGCAAAGGACCAGAGATAATTATAAACTTACAGAGGCATCACTGGCTCTAATTCAACTCTTTGACACACTGACAACAAGAGGCTTCTTCAAGCTAAAGGAATGTTCATGTCTAAGTGTGGGTGGGACAATAAATTGCATTGTAGTGGCCATACTTTGGGTATTTCTAAACATAAAACCAAGAATTACCTTCTAATTTTCCATCTGTTCTGGTTAACAGGGAATCCAGAATTTATGAGTTTCCAAACCAGATATGTCTGACCCAATACTGTACATGATTGTCAAAAGGATATTGTCGTGATAATACTGCTACAATAGGCTGCACATGGCGATATGCGTTCTGTGTTTCCAGTTACCAACACTTTTTAGATTATTATTTTTGGTTGGCCCCGCCATGATTTCCCATCATTTACCACTGGTTTCCCTTTTGTTGGCATACATCACATATCAAATATATATCTACATTTACAACGCGTCACAGAAGTGTTCAGAGCACATCCCTCAGAGATGCTATACTGAAATAAGGCATTTCAATGTCAAAACACACAATTAAAAAGTGTAAAAATACACTCAATAGCTCATTTGTCTTCAAATTAGATTAGCTAAAGGATTTGAACGAGACAAATACAGTTGTAATATACAAGAAGCTTATTTCACCTGTGAAGGTGTTATGTCAAGTAACAGTTTTCTGTTTTCAATCAGGCTTATTTTTACAGTCCATTCCTCGCCACCCAATAAATTATCACAGTACCAGAATGTACGTCACGCGCACATATTTGAACATAAACACGGCTAACACAAGAGCCCCAGTCCCGCACACACGTTTTAAAGGGTGTTTGGACTCAACCACCCTTCTCCTCTCTCACTCTTTCACGCACACTCACTCACACACGTACAGTCCCATAGCCCCAGCAGCCCCTCCACAGCCCCGTCCCGCAGGCTGTCTGTGTGTCTGTCCTGAGCGGGCGGGTGGGGGCCTGGGTGGGGGTCTTTGCACGGTGGGGGTCTGAGCAGGGGTTGGGGGTGTCAGTTGGTGGCGCGTCCTGTCCTGCTGCTTCGTGGAAAGCGGTGCACTTTGAGGTGTTTGGACAGGTGATCACTGCGGGCAAACTTCTTCTCACAGACGATGCACTGGTACGGTTTGACTCCGGAGTGAGAGCGCCTGTGCCGGGACAGCTCATCTGACCGGGAGAACCTGCCAGCAGCAAAACACAGATCTGGGTTAGATTTACACTGCAAAACGTCATAACTACGTAACTTCAAATGACTCATATTAAGAAGAATTAACTTGATCTGAGGAGATTTCACTTGGAACAAGTTTATTTATTTATTTTTTCTTAAAGGGCCCGTATTACGTCATGATCTTGTTTCCTCATCTCAACCATATCTGAAGTTGTGTTTTATTTCATTCACACGTTTAACACACAAACCCTGCATATTTAGGCTGAGTTCTTCTCTCAAACAGAAAAAAAGTTCCACCTTGTGATGTCATGTAGCAATACAGGAAGTGCCCCACTGTATTTTTAAACTCTATTAAGCCTAGACAGACTTTATTGATCCACAACGGAAATTATTTGGACACGGGAGCTCACACATCACAAATAATATAATAACAAAGAGCAAAAAAATATATAAATGGTAATAATAAATTCTAAATAAGTAGCAAAAAATATATACACCTATACACTTTCACTAGACTCAAACGTGTGAATGAAACAAAACAATTCCAGGTATGTTTTTTGATGAGGAAACAATATTATAACATGACTAAAAGCTCAGAAGAGTCAATTTTGTGAAACATATGACCTTCAATTCAAACAAAATAAAATTTTGTTTCTAATTTTAAGTACTAAGAGTTGTTTTTCTTATCTTTAGTGTAACTAGGTGTATTTTCCTATTTCAAGTACAAAACATTTTGATAATTTTACTTGAAATTTACTCAAATCAATATAACATGTTCTTAATTCAAATCAAGATTTTAGTTTTTGTAGTGTAGGAAAGATTCATTAAGCTTTTTAAAATGTGTAAACGATATGCAAGATCTCTGACTGACAGCCAGGAGTTGACCGGGCAAATACTACAACTTTGAGAGATGTAATGTGAGAATTATATCCTGTTTTCCTTTCCATCATTAGAAGGTCCATATTTAGGGCTTACATGATGAATAAACCAGCAGTTAACTGAGCTGTAAAACACCACCAAGTCAGATGATCTCAGTATCTCCTCTTAGCATTAACACGATCTCAGCATTTACATTCGGACGGTAGGTAGGTATCAATTTCTGTTATGAATACGATGGGCAGAATGGCTGATTATAAGTACAAAACAAACAAAAAAAAAGTTGTCCATAGATTTGATTCCATTGTTACAGAGCCCCCAAAACACCTAAATCACAACTTTACATTTGTTTGCTATTCATGCGTTTTTGCTTCCTGTTTGTATTTTGGAAATTTTAAAACAATTAAAGTATCAAATGAAGTGATTTTGATAAAGAGTTTATCTAATTTTAAGTAATTCAATTGATTTCTTAATTTTTCTAGCTCTAGATTTTTATTTTGTTTTGTATTTATGTATTTTGTTTAGCTTAAAATTGGGAAAATAACTCAAAGTTTCAGCCTTTTCAGTCTCAAAAGAAAAGTACTTTTTACTTTTCAGGCCTGATCTGAAATGTAGCAGAGTAGAAAATACAGATACATGCTCTCAAATGAAGTGAAGTATCCACTGTAAAAAGGTTTAAGTAAAGTACAAATACGGAAAAAAATGTACTTAAATATTTTGAACTTGGTTACTTTCCGTCACTGAAGTTCTGACACATGAGCTTCATTTGCATTGAAACCCCGTGCTCCTAAACGTATGTACTCACATGTAATGAAGTCATGTGTAAGAGTGCCACATAAAAGTGCTTGGTTTGAGGAGTGTAATATGAGAGGTGTGAAGTGACACAAGTCTTCCCCTCTGAGCTCCTGTGAAGTTTAAGAGGGGCCCCATATTTAGCCGCACACATGAGCGCAGGCTATTCCTATACCCCCCGGTGCCCGTCTCCAAGGCTTGGGTGTCACGGCTGTCTCTTACTCGCAAAATAGTAATCCTAATCAGATCTTAAAGGTGCATTGTGTACCTTTTCTGGTGGAGGGTCCGTCACCTGCTTGTCTCTGTGGATATGTCATTGCTCTGCCTGGAAGGTTTCACAGTTTCAAACAGTTCCACATTTACATTTATTCAATTTTAGGTGGTTTTATAGCTAAAATACAGAGAAAAAGGGGATTCTGACTGCCTCTCCACAGATGTGACCTGTAGCTTGGTCTGGTTTTGTCTCCATGAACATAGAAAGGTTTAATATCGTACTAGAGAAGAGCATTTGACGGACCCTCCACCAGAAACGTTACACAGTGCACCTTTAAACAAGTAGAATGGTAAGCAAGTAATATCGCTGCAAAAATTAAATAGTCTAGTTTGGGTTAAAATATATCAAGTTCTGAATAGTAATCTGGATTTGAGTAGTTTTGACTAGATCCTATATTACGCAAAATTGACTCTTGTGAGCTTTAAGCTATTTGAAATGCTATTACCTCTTCAAAAACATACCCGGAGTTGTGTTTTGTTTCATTCACACATGTTTGAGTAATACTGCATTATTAGTTTTTCTGCATCTCCAAAGGTCAAGATGTTCTGTTCCACCTTGTGATGTCACGAAGAGGTAGTTTTCAAGTTAGTAGCTACTTTTTTACCTTTTGTTTAGTGGAGATTGGCAATTTCATGGGTAAAATCACCCAAATAATTTGAGAAGGTGTATGGAGTTTAAAAGCACATTGGAGAGGTTTGTGCATTACCACATGACATCACAAGGTGGACCAGAGTGTTTTCTGTCTGAGAGAAGAACGCAGCGTAAATATGGAGGAGTTGTGAGTTAAACATGTGAATGAAACCAAACACAACTCGTAAATAGCGCATGGAGATCTGTGGAGAGGAGACCCAGCTCACAGAAAGAATGCAGAAATATCAAATATAAACTAAACGAATAAATACCATATGCATAAGTTAAATGCCATACTGCGGAACATTCCAGGCAAAGCAATAACACCTTTATAAAGACAACCAAGCAGCACAGCCCTCACCAGAAAAGTCTCCATGGGGTCTTAAAACCTCCTAACGCTGTTGTTTTGACCTCTTCGGAAACACATGTGATCCTTGTATTCTTTCAGATCTTTTTTTTTTTTTTTTTTGTTCGATATCTACTCACGATGTTTGACAGAAAAGAAAAATGATAATGAATTCAAAATCATTTCTAAGCGTTTTACCACATCCATGAACAATGCATCAATTTCCTCTCCATCTCCAACAGCGGCTGGTGGAGAGGCCAAGGAGGTGATAATTCAGGCACGTAAAGCAGTCAGTCCAAGGATTTTTTTCAAAGCCTTTCCACTCTAGACATAGATTACACAACTGGCCTATTCATCATTTTAATGGGCCAGTAATAAAACAGAGATAACCAGTGGAGCTTAGAGAGGCAAGCTGTGGACCCGAAAAGCCAAGAACAGCAAAACAAACACTCGGATACACGTAATGATAAGCAAAAGAAGTATTATTTTTAGGCTTATGTCAAATAAACGTGCTCTACGATGGAACAGGAGGTTACAGTGGTCCACCAACTGTTACTAAGTCTGAGATTTATTTTCAGCTCCTTGTGTTTGCCTTTTCACATTTTTAGATTAAGATCGAGCCACGGTTGCTGCTCAGGCTCCACCATGAGTCAACAGCCACTCCATTACCCATGCAATTTGTATCAATCAAACGCAAGAAGCAGGTTATTTTCATGGTGGGATTTCTCAGATTACATGGTGGATAAATGTATGTTTCTATGGGAATTCATGTACAAATCAAAGACTATGTGCTCCCTGAGAAATGTAAAACATGAAAAATTATACACAAGAGGCCCCCAGGCATTTGGGCCTCTTACATGAAACTCAATGAATGTTCAGAACTAAATACATAATAAGCAATATTAAGAAAGACTGAGGTTTCTTTTCTTAGAATGCATCGACTGTGGATTTAAAGCAGATTAGACAACCTCCTTCAGTCTTAATTATGAACAAATCAAATATTCAACACATGTCTTTGTTCTGCCATGATGTAAGGGGGATGTAAAGGGCAAGACAATGCACTGTGTTGTAATGTTCCTGTAATCATTTGTAGAGTTATGAAACTTCAAAGTTTCCCAAGTACGCAAACTGTTCTCAGATCTTCTTTAAACAAATTATGACAGCAGAAGTCACTGGCGGTGTTATGTCTCAACCTCATTCAATGTCTGTATGTTCTGTGAGTTTATCCGTGTTTGTAGCTCAAGTAACCTGATGAGGTGACACATTTTATTTGGCCCAGATTCTGAACTTAAAAGGTATTTAAATACAGAAACACTGGCTGGTGTTATAAGAATGCATGCACTGTTCAGTTTGTGTGTAGAACTCTTAAGCATTTACATGTTTTACTGTATTTTCCGGACTATTGAGTGCACCTGAATATAGGTCGCATCAACTAAATTTTAACTAAATTTTAAATTTGTACATATATAGGTCACATCTGAATAGGTGTTCACGTCTTTAAGAACCTTTTCAAGTTTGGGCCATCTGCTTTTTCACCTCTGAAAGCTTTTATCATCTTTTTGCATTGAGTCAGTTCGTCACGCTGCCGTTGCCAAAATCTCACCATTGATGTCGAGCTCACGTGCAGCAGCTCTGTTTCCTTCTTCCACAGCCACACCAATTGCTGTTAACTTAAAAGCTGCATCATCTGCATTTCTTTGTGTATTTTCCATGAGGAGTGTGTGTATCAGGAGCAAAATAACTCTTCAAAACACAATCAAACGGGCATCTTCCTCGGCGCATCACCCCCGTCTCTCCCCGCGCTCTACTGCACATGACTCTTGCAGAAAGAGTCTCTGTCCTGTCTGTATCATGTCAGTGTCTTGGAGGATTTCAGCAGATTTCAGGTTTTCTTGGGGTCTACGCTAGTTCTATCAATCAGGTATGAGCGGATGTTCGGCTACTGAAGTTTGAGACATTTGTTCTCGTCATTTACGCATACGGCTAAGACGTATCCCCCTCACTAATGTTCATTTAGCATCACAACTTATTTTATCACACAGCAATAAACTATTTGAGTGCACTGACAATATCACTAGCTAGTGTAGCAATGTTA